TCGCAAATGGAGGTCAAATACTTATTTCCCTCATTAAAATGCAAATCAATTCATAACATTTTTGACATGCGTTTTTCTGGATTTTGTTGTTATTCTGTCTCTCACTGTTCAAATAAACCTACCATTAAAATTATAGACTGATCATTTCTTTGTCAGTGGGCAAACGTACAAAATCAGCAGAGGATCAAATACTGTTTTCCCTCACTAGGAGTACAGACTGTATTAATAGGAACGTTTTCTAAGCGTGTATTAAGACTGGAGAGTGTAATACTGTGCTTAAATACAACTGACGCGCATATTTGCATTAGCAATTCAAACGCTGTGTACATCAAGTACATATCTGTTGCATGGGATTTAGTAAACCGTGCATGCGCTCGAAGGCAGTGCTCATCAACGTGCTTTGCTCGGGGTTCCCTCTCTCGTCTCTACTTATTTTTTTGTTTCGTGTTAATTTTAGAGGAAAAAAATAACAATCTTAAACCCGCCTTGCACCTCTGCTGCAGGGTGATGTTAAGTTCAAATTAGTTTGGATTTGATTAGAGCTACCGTGTTTCCACACTCTGTGATTATTCTGATGTATAGTACAGGTCAGCCTTTGTAACTGTCATCAATATGCTCAATCTTTTTATAGCACTCTGCTTCTAAGATTTGCCTTTAACTAGCCCTTTAGGATACACCAATGTCCCCTATATCTCACAGCTCATTTGAACTCTGGAGGCATGAAGAAATATACATTTCATTTTCAAAGTACGGTAATTGAATCTAAATCTGCTCAATATCCATCGAGTTTGCTGGAAGTTTTAAAACTAACCTCTGATTATTGTCCTTTGTAATTGCAGCGCCAAAATTCTGGAATGCATTGGTCACTTTGATCAATATTTCAAACCTTACCATCTGAGTCTGCATTGATGTCATTGCTCCCACGACTCCTACTGCAACACATTTGCCAATTTTACTCATGCCATTAGTAAGGCCATTTGAGAATGCTATTTTTGGAAAGACAATTTAGAATTGCGAATCCAGTTATAATTCATGCTGTTTTTAAATGCCATTTTAAATGCCATATGCCAATTCCACTCACTCGTGTCATGTAAGTTTGGATTGCTAGCTAGACTGCCATTGTACATAATTCTGACTATGCATTAGATATGTCCATAACATTTCCCTGATTTTGTTCTATGCAGCCCCTGTAAACCCTCCCTTCCCATGTGACGTGTGTGCTGACTGTATCAGCCGTTTTTGGCTGGGTTGCCATTGAAAAAGAGCTGCGTATCTCATTGGGGTTGATACGAAATAAACTTACTGAATGAAGTGACACACGCGGATTAAACGTAGGATTTTGTGAAAAGTGCTATTCAATAAGTGTGTATTAAATTGTAAATATTCAGTTTGTTTTTGCTAACAACTTATTACAGTTAATAAAATGTGTTCGGTGTTGTGTAAACATAATTGCCAAGCAGTGGTGTAGCTGTGTTAGTGCACACCTATAATCCATCACTGGAGGTAAGGGCTGTTGAATCACCGCATGAATAGTGTTATACTCCCTTCCTGTGGGTATCGAGGTGCGAGATCCTTGCTTGCCATTTATTTAAAACGTTGACTAAATGCTTCATACTTCTCAAGCAACATAATAATTCCAGAATAAAGTACTGTATACGCATCTTCGCCGGCAATAATTAATTACTTTATGAATACATGTACAATATGTGAATGCACAAGCTGTCTTCTTTTACAGTATATCAGTGTGCAAGATAAAATGCCAGCATGCTGCTACAATACAAAGCTGGTCTGTGATTTAAAAAGAGGCTTGAATTTCAACGTTAACACTGTGGCATTTGCTTAAAATCTTCATCGGAATGCCCTAAATTGCAGAGTGTTGAATTCCAGAGGTGTGCATAGTCGATATCTTGTATCGACATAATATCCCTTTTCGAGACAGATGGCACAGTCCCATCTTTGTTGTTGCCTTGTTTACCATGAACCCACAGGGCTGCGAAACATTTTAATACGCGCACACACACTGTAAGCAATACCCGTTGACCAAGAAGAATGGCAGATTTCGCTGCCTTGGTTCAAGCTTTAAAATGATTGAGTTACATGCCGTTGTGTCTAACGGTGGCTCAATAATATAACTAGTCATGGTTGTACTCTACTAAAGAACGGGAGGTAAAGGGTGCTTGCATATGGAGTTCATCACCCACTCTTTGGTGACTGGTGATTTGAAATACTATACTGGAACAATGTTTTTTTTTTATCCTTGACCATCTGTGGTGGTCCTGTATTTCACCATGACACATAATATCATGCTATGCAATGAATGCGATCCCATTGTTCAGTGATACTGCTGTCATATATGAATAATGCTATGTGCAGTATTTTTGCATTGTTTGATTTTGAGACCAGTGACTTTTTAAGTAAGCATTTCAACATTGGGAGAATAGTACAACATCAGGTGGCTCTAATTGATACCGTACTGCAATATTCGTAAGGAATAGTTACATTAATGGAATGTTGAAAATAAGTTATTCCAATTGTTGTGGTGCGCTTGTTAATCGTTATTGTTTTTACTGAAAACTGAATTGAGCAACAAACATGAATCGATGTCTTATTACCTCCATGAATTGAAAATAACAATTTTACATTCCGTTTTTTTCGGTTCGTTTTATCTTTTTAGCTAAAGTTTTGTTTCATGAAGAAGTTGAATCGAGATTGCATTTGTTTTCTAAAGTTGGCTATATGCTTAATAACAGCCGTAGACGTTGCAATTTATATTCAGATAAACTCACCATGCAAGGGAAACCTCTATACGTTTTTTTTATCAGTAGCTTGTACAATCAGAAGCCACCTTCAACTTAGCTGTAATTCTGACCATTCAGCCACAAGCAGAGATCCCCTGTTATCGTCTAAGACTCTAAGTGCTTCAAGTGCAATTTTCAGTGCCTTTTGCCTTGCACTCATTTTTATCAAATGGCATGGAATGCTAGCTGTGCAGTTTTTTCGCGAAAGAGGCAGTCTCATGTAGATGATGAAGGTGCATTCCTCAGCCATCCTGTCCACAAATCCATCTTCAAAGGAGGTCAGACAATATTTCAGAAACAATTCCACGATTGAACATATGCAATGCAGGAAGGTATATTTAATAAAATACATAGAAATATACATTATGATGTGTATATTTTAACCCTAGCAGCACTTCATACCAAAAATAAATATGGTACTTTGAATTTTTAAATACTACAAAGTATAGCACTGTGGAGGAAGTGGTCGTATAATTGTTTGTACACTGGGCTATGAACTTGGCAAACCTGAGCTCAATTCCTGGTCAAGGCTAACGCCACTGATGAGTAATATCTGAATGTGTTCTGCCCCCCCCCTTTAGCAACCTGCATTGACCAGCGTGAAGTATAGGAAAAAGCCCCCACCGTGACTGACATGGCGTGGGTAGGTCTTCATCCTGTAATGGATTGACAAAGACCTGAATTATTAATAGGACATCGTACTGCATGTTCAAATAAGATATAAGAATAATCCATATCGCTCTGACTGTTGCACGTTTTTGAATAATACACATGATTTTCCTATCCAGGAATATGGAACAGTAATTTTGAGGTCCATGAATATACGTGCAATTGACACATTGTTAAAATGTGTCCAATTGCATGTAGAATGTCCAAGCATACATATGCTGTAAATATATTTAAAAAAAATATTGGACTCACTGAAGTAATATGCTTAAAAATGAAAATAAAATCTGAATTGGCTATGATAAAAATTAACCCGTAAAACAAAGTTTTTCACTATAAATCCTTTATATGCGTGACATCGGTTTTATTTTATTATTCATTTCTGTTTTTCTTGCGGCGAGAGTCCTCTCGTCCTCTGGCTTGAGATGGCTGCCACCTATGGGTCAGATGATTGCCTGCCACCATTAAGCAATTGGTTATTAAATATATATTTTTTTTCCTAAAAAGTGTAAAATTTAGGAAAAAAAATTTCACGAACATTAATTGTCACGCACAACGAGTCTGTGCGGAAAATGTCAGCTCGATTGGATCACGGGAAATGGGTTAAAAAACGACCGAAAGATTTGCACGGTCGTAAGCGCGCAAGCAAGCAAGTGAACTTAATATAAAGGATTTTAAAAAATCAGAGCAAGGCACACGTATGCATTTCTGGGTGCCTAAACAAATCATGTGCTGCATGTAAAATATACTGGGGAAAACAACAAACCCTAACAAATCTTCAACATACGGCAAACTTCTTTGGGGCATAGTTTGTCCTGCACAACTTTAACCAAAGCGAACTCCTTAATTGCCTGCTTGAATAATGGGCTTCCTGTGGATATAATATGTATTGATTAATGAAATGCTTTAACATCCCATTCGATATTTAATCCTTTTTTTTTCCAGAGTCATATTGTCATGCTGTTATTGTTGGAAGCATCGCTTGCTTTTTTTCCTAATTATTTTCTATATACATAGATCGTATCCATGCTGCGGTTGTAAGCATACGGCCATCCAACGCAATTCCCAATCATTTTAAATCACTTTTCATTGGAGGACTGTCAAACCTTCAAGTTAAAGCTGAGATATGTCTAGTAGGCCAACACATATACTGCCTGTACCGTAGTTACCTGCGCAGTGAATTTTTCACACAATTGCAATAATAAGACAACGTTGCATTCAAAGTTGCATTTAAAATGAAACAACAACAATAACAAAATCTCGACGTCTGCATTTATGCAACGATTGTGAAGGCTTCCCCCTCTGCTGTGGTTAGTGTACGCCAATGCATTACAATCGCATCGTCTCCGTGCGTGCGTGTGCGCATTTTGTTGTTGTGTTTGTGTGCAAGGCGGTCGAGCCCTGCTTGCTGGCCACCCTCGTGTACCGTGCCGACCTTAAATCAAAAAATAGTCGCTCGCCACCAACAAGCACTTTGCCTCTACCAACAGGCTGTGGAAGGGCAACACGGGTGACCTTTGTCTTTTGTTGGCGAGTCTGTGAACGCGAATGGGCAATCCCAGGGAAAGGCAAAAGGGGGTGACGTCATGCCGCCCGGAGCCTTAGAGACGCTGTTTGTAGCAACAAGCTGATGCGGCTTTCGAGACGAACGGAATCACCTCGCGCGCGCGTGTGCGCGTGAAGACGCGTTGCGTTACACGCATGCGAGGACGACTGCGACGACAACAACAACAACAACATCGTCGCCTACGCAATGAACGAAGACCTCAATTAGCAACATCCGCTGGATCCCCTGCTATTCGTTTGGAAGCACGGTGAGAGAGAGCTGATGGTAATAATGGTACTACTGCGATGTGCGCCGAGGCTTTCGCAGTGCGTAAATGGCAGAGCAAGTGTGGAAACGCCGCCGTGCCTTCACTTGGGGGCTGTATGTATCTATGTATATATATACAACCGCAACTCGCGTTTAGACACACGGTGTATCCTCTGCATCGTACACGCGATGGGCGTCGAATTGCGGACGCGTGCATGTGAACTATGACGTCACGTAACCTCGTACATCTTCCTTCCCCGCTGCGAAGCAACACAACCAGCTCGCATGGGCAATTCCTTAAAGCGGTAACCATGTAAATATGTGTGTGTGTCATTGCAGCACGGCTCGATGTCATTTACCACGCACAGCGCGATAGCGGCTGCATTCCGATAGGCGAACAACAACAAAACAATTGGTTAACCTTACCTCGCGTAGCAGAGCCGCGATACGATCAAATATAGGCAGGTCTGCAGCGGTGAGAGTGATTATTACGACGATGACCGTCATTATCATCATCGTAAACACGTGCGTGCTGCACGCATCATTCCGGCGGTCGAGGCGTTTGCCGTCGAAATCGCTGGCAGCCGAGCTGGTTCGCAGTGCGCGTGCTCAATCGATCAGTGTCATTGACGCGAGCTCACGCGGATTTCTAATTGTATCGATATTCCTCCAGTTGCAATGGCACTCGAGTCGGATGCTGGCACATGCAAAATATTTGACTTTGGATGCCTATATTGTCCGCTCAATATGCAAATGCAGTGTTTGTAATATGCAGGTCCAGGCCCGTTACGAACATTATTGGGGTTCAACCATTAAGATGATTGAACTGGTTGCCTTGGCTGTGTTTACTTTATTGTATTGCTTTTAATATATTATATATTGTATCTTCTCTCGTGTTACAAACCAATGCATTCATCCCGGGTCCTGTTAAAGATGCATGTTGCTTCTCTCAATGGGCTCTCGTCTAGCAAAAATACGGGGGATTAGTGTTTCCGTGGCATTTGCTTTTGCATTATTCATGCCACGCGGTGGGTGTGTGTGTGTGTGGTGGCTTAAGGGGAAATATTGCATTTACGACAAATTTCTCATTTGTGAACGGGGTAAACCACCGATGATTTTTTTTGGGAGATTTAAACGAAATCGGGGTGGCTTTTAGTAGGAGGAGACTGCGCATTTTTTTATTCTAAGGTCCTCACCCCCCTTCCATAACCCCGCATCGCACCGCACCACAGCACGCACATCCCCTCCACTCACTCACCATCCTTCCCGTCCACTCACCCACCATCCGTACTCTCCACCCACCTAGCACACGTTTGTGGTAACATAGCGAACGAGCATTGCCACGTACGTTCCCGTTCCTGTTTAGGATTGTTTGGAGAGAGAGCGAGAGAGAGAGAGTCGCCTAGGAGGGGACCGGCATGGCTCGCTGCTACAATGAAGATGAGGACGAGGAGTTTTACGAGTATGAGCCACTGCCCACTGTGCTGGAGGACGAGGTGAGAGAGATGGGTGAATGCACCGGTGATGGTGACACGTGCGTGAGATGCGTGTGTGCTGGCTCATTGATGTGCAGCGTTAGGTGTGCAGAACAAGAGATGTGTGTGCGGGCGTGCTGACGAATTGATGCATGATGCACAGCGCTGGATATGTGTGTGCATACATTACATATACACAAGCTGTACTGTGCTTATGTATCAATTTAAAACATGAAACTAATATCTATCTGATATATGTGCCGTTGTCATGTGCCTGCATGCATATACAATGCATTTTATGATTATATAAAACTATGCAAATAATAGTGACAAATATGTTTTATTTTTACAACGGGCATCTAGAACGTTAATAACAGTCAATCGATCAAAGCAGTAATTTCTAAAAATATATATGCATTGCCATATGTCAGAGTGCATTACACACCATGTATTTCTTTGATGCCATGTTTGCACGGGTTTGCTATCATTGTACAATTCCAGTGCTGCCTAATTTAATTGAATGGGTGATGATAATAAGATTTACAAGAGTAATGCATCAGATTGCACTGCACGGGATGTGCGTGCCTGCCATTAATTTTTTTTGCAAAAATAATTTATAATCAAATACTGCTTGTTCATTTAAATTGCTATTAATATCAGTAGGACCTTTTTTATGCAGCCTTGTGCATAGGTTTGCGTTTTTTTGCATTCTCTTTTTGCCAATAAATGTGATTGCAGCATGAGAAATGTGACATTGATCTGAAGTGAAGTTAATGCATTTTTGAGATTTCAGAAAACAGTCATGCGAGTGATTCATTTTTTTATAGCTCTAACAACCAGATAGTCTCACGATGCTGGGAACTTTGTCAAACAGTGGTGTGTGTGATAAAATATTAATGTTTCGTGGCATGTGTTTTCAATGCTGCAGCGTTGCCCAATGTCCTCATGCGAATGCTGCTAAGTATCCCAGGCACAGGAATACTTAGTGCATTGCTCGGTTGACAATGGTTTATATTTATTGTAATAAAAACAATTGCTCACGGAATTAATGTAAAAAAAAAACACATTTTGCAAACAAAAACACGAGCATGCGTTTATTGAGTGGCATTTTCAAAAGCCTTCTTATTAGTGGACCTCATTTGTCGCCAAACTGTTTTCAACCTCATCCGAAGTAAGACATACAGGACACAACAAGAAAAGGCGTTTAGAAGCTAACATTGACCGGCTTGTGGTGCGTCTGCGTTGCACAACAGTCTAAAGCTGGCACGTCCCAAGCGTGTTTTTTCCCTCTCCAAAACTCATCGATGGGAGTGGGTGCATTGGTCAGGACAATGCAATTCAGCGCTGGCGTAATAGCACCGTGCACACAGCGTGCCACTGCACATGTGTGTGCTCGCATACACGGTTGGCTCGGTACGGTGCGAAAGAAGTTCAACATGCATACGTAGAACCGTACACGCGCTTTCGCGCTTCGAATATTTGCTGTGCTGTACATTCGCAGCTTATAGACGATGTTTTCTCATCAGCTGTTGATGTTTTTTTGGGATGAATATAACTTTCCAGGTATGCAATTTTCAAATTTTACTTAAGCAGATTACATTGACGGCTGTCTGAAAGTGCACGCATTTTTAACCTTACCATTTTTAACCTTACCATTCAAAATACTGCAGTGTAATAATCACCTCGCTCGGTGTATCCAGGTATGTGTGGATGATAGCTGAGAAAAGTGTTGAACATCATAACAACTATATCTGTACAGTACTCTAAATGTTGCACTTAAGAACTGCTGTGCCCGGAGCCAAATATATACATACTGTATGTATTAAAAATACATTATGAATTAAATTGACCGTACAAAAAGTTGAGCCAATGCCATTATTGAATGAAAGGCTCCATCAAATGCAACAAACTCTCTTTATTTATTATTAACTTAATAAAAGCACTTTGGTCCCTTAACTAAAAGTTGAAGTAGTTTCACTTGTAACCGTCATATGTGTGCCCTGACAACATGGTTTGCACTGTGACGTTCGTACAGCCCATCTCAAAGTAGAGCACTGAGGTGGCATTTCTCAAGCGTGGTTAAACATTTAGTGCTGTTGAATTGTATAGGATTTGCAATATGACCCGTATCCCAAGAGGCGTTAAAAGATTAATGTTAGCTCCTGCAGAATGCACAAAAGCAGTGCGGTTATGGTGGCCATTGTATTTAAAGAATGAGTCTATAGTGGTAACCAAATATTACTGCAATGCCTGAACCATCATAACTGTGCTTTGTTGTTTTAGCTATGCATCGCCCAGCACTTCACTTTCTGTGTTTGTTAAACCAGTGAAGGATCTTGCCTTTTCTCATTGGATAATAAAGTATGGGCAACAATGGACAATTTCTTGGGCAAAATGTCTGAGAATCATTACTTACTCGTCATCATCCCCGATGGGACGTATGGCGACAATGAGCTCATGCACAACTGAAAACGTTTCATTTCAGAATTTTAACGACATTTATTTAGAGCACCGTCAAACTAGTTCGTTGGATTTGTATCATTTTGGTACACACTAAATATCGTATAAACTGAAACTAAACTTAAAGTATATGTTCATAGGGTGAGCCGTATAAACATAACATGTATATGTCCATAGTAAACGGCACATACAACATCTACATGCAGAAAGGAAGTCATACAAGTGTTACGAAAACATTTTGCATTCTGTGCAAGTGCTGTGTGACAACCTATGGTCATAACTCTTATCGCTCATGCTTTCATCTGCGTACATTAGAAAGCACCATTTGTCAACGCCTGTAAACATGACAATCTGCCCGCAATGGAAACCCACTGGTAGATTGAATACTAGGGCTCCTTAACGTTTGAGATAACAAAGATGACGTGTTGATTCGTGGGCCGCGTCTATTGTCTTCATGTAGGGTACACGGGCATTGTAGAATTTCAATGCACAGTTAGACGCAGCGAAACGGCAATATTCACTGACCCTCGCATAAATAGATTTGTGAAAGCAGTGGGTTTTAAAGATTTTGTTCCTCACCGCTAATCATCCAATCGATTGATGCAATTAATTCAAAGCATGTCTTTTTGCATATTAATTGAAATATGCATTGCAAACAAGCCTGACAGTGAAAAGTGTGACTTGACAAGCATTTTCATATTTAATTGCCAAAACAATATTGAACCATGAATTAAATGTAAGATATAAACGGATACGGAAATGGATTTTGCTCATCATTTTGTAGATTTTTAACTACAAGTCGATAATGTTTAGTAAATTTAATATATAATAGGACACATTTTGCTCTGTATCATTAAAATAACACAAGGGCATGTATTAAACATCGTTATAAAATTTTTCATTAGTTTTACTCTTGGCAATTATGTAATAAATGCCATCAATGGCACAGTATAGATATAGTTTTATATATGCCTAGCATATACATTTTCACGTGGTGCACACGTTGCCTTGGGATGTCCCTCCATGCACACAACAAGTATGCAGCTCCCCTGTCTTGTGCATGCACCTCCTCAAACTCTTGACGTTGCTGTGGCAAACTGCAAAACCATGGAGTTGAGCTCATTGACCCTGAGCCTCTCGTTCTCTCCCCACACATCTCAACTCCGCAGGACCTCATTTATCGATCTGCACATCTCCCACACCTGCCGTGTCCTTACCCCCAGCCGCTGATGGGACCCTTGCCAGTGCATTACTTACATCCAGACTCAACTACTGCAACCGTCTGCTCTACAGCCTCCACAAACCACTCATCACCAAAACTCGATGATCCAAAATGTCACCGTTAAGACTCCTTGCTCACACGCGTAAACATGACCCCCCCCCGCCCCAATACTCCAAAACGTCCACTGGCTTCCATTATAGTCCCAGGTCAATTTCACTATCACACTGATCATCTTTAAGATCCTCCTTGGACCCATTCCCACCTATCCTCTCCTCTGAGCATCTCTTAAGGCCAGCGCTGAACTTGACTGAGTGGTTGTGGGCACCACTACACACCCTCTAGCTGCTTTTTTTTGTCTCATTTGTCATCGGTACCAATGTCGACTGTACTGGGTCCACGATCCTCCTTGGACCCATTCCCACCTATCCTCTCCTCTGAGCATCTCCTAGGGCCAGCACTGAATTTGACTGAGTGGTTGTGGACAGCACTACACACCCCCTGGCTGCTTTTCGTCTCATTTCTCATTGGTACCAATGTTGACCGCACTGGTGTCCTCGATTCCGGCCAATTTGTCCTGGGATGAACCCAGGCTATCTTTAGGCACCAATCACCACAGGCCCAATCTATCAGCACGCCAAGCAGCCAGCAACAAGCTGCACTGGGTCCACGATCTTCCTTGGACCCATTCCCACCTATACTCTCCTCTGAGCATCTCCTAGGGCCAGCACTAAATTTGACTGAGTGGTTGTGGACAGCACTACACACCCCCTGGCTGTTTTTCGTCTCATTTCTCATTGGTACCAATGTTGACCGCACTGGTGTCCTCGATTCCGGCCAATTTGTCCTGGGATGAACCCAGGCTATCTTTAGGCACCAATCACCACAGGCCCAATCTATCAGCACGCCAAGCAGCCAGCAACAAGCTGCACTGGGTCCACGATCTTCCTTGGACCCATTCCCACCTATACTCTCCTCTGAGCATCTCCTAGGGCCAGCACTGAATTTGACTGAGTGGTTGTGGACAGCACTACACACCCCCTGGCTGCTTTTCGTCTCATTTCTCATTGGTACCAATTTTGACCACACTGGTGTCCTCGATTCCGGCCAATTTGTCCTGGGATGAACCCAGGCTAGCTTTAGGCACCAATCACCACAGGCCCAATCTATCAGCACGCCAAGCAGCCAGCAACAAGCTGCACTGGGTCCACGATCTTCCTTGGACCCATTCCCACCTATACTCTCCTCTGAGCATCTCCTAGGGCCAGCACTGATTTGACTGAGTGGTTGTAGGCAGTACTACACACCCCCTGGCTGCTTTTCGTCTCATTTCTCATTGGTA